GTTTCACTATTTTTTCTAGTCCAGCTGGTTTTAGTAGTTTGAAATCAAAATTATGATTAAAACTCATAAAATGGTCCCACAGTGAGCATCTGGAGGAAGAATGCTCCAGTTGTCAGATAACTTTTACTCGTGGGACTCGGTCTCAGATGAATACTGAACATCCTACACCATGCAGGGCGATCTCCATCCAACGTTTTTATAAATCCACCTGACATCTTTTTCGGATTGATTTATCATCCCTCCAAAGGAAAAATCATGACTCTCTTACCTGAATTATGTTAACTGATATAGTAAAATCGCTGATTTTCCTGCTCTGCTCATTATCAGGATTCACAGGTGTGAGAAGCCTTACTGCAAATTACAAATTCAAAAACAGATTCTAGCCAAAGGCCATTCCTTTACTGTATAATTGTCTCCCCCCCCACCCCCCCAAGAAGTGATTCACTATAATTAAGCCATGGAAGACAGCTTTATTCTCCTGTGAGCATTCATATTAGTGCTTCTACAGGCGGGTCTCACAAACATCTCACAGCTGACGCGTTAAAACACAATGGACAGTCATGTTCAAGAAGGTATCTACAGGCTCACATTGTCATAAGGGACAACGCAATACACACAATGTACCTGCAGGTAGGAAGCCTTCAGGGACACCTGTCATTGTTGTCTTGGCCGACTCTGCTGTGTCTGTGTGCCTTTAAGGGGAAAAGCCAGACTCCAGCTGCTCGGGAATAAGCAGGATGCTCGCTGGCCCACATAAACTAACAACGGAGCACAACTCTGAATTAATCACATACATAAATTAAAAATAAACAAAAAGCTGTATCCTTATTTACATGAGAATAATCACAACCGTCACTGCTGTAGGGACTGTCAACCAGAAAATCTGGTTGCGACCATAAACGGTTGATTTTCGGTTTTATAAACCCTGATTGGCCGATGGGAAGCTCTAATTTAAAAAAAAAGAGAGAAATAGAGAAGATAGGAACAATAATCAAATCAAATACTAAAGAAATCAGGCCAGTTAATGCAGTTAAAGGCATTCGGTGTGGATGCTCCTACTGAGAGAACCTTATCAGAATACCATGAAGAAGCTTTGCTCCAAAATCTGAATACTAGAAGCAAGTTAAAAGGAAACTCTTTTTTATATGTCGAGGCATATCTGCAATTTATTCAGACAGCCAAGAGAGAGCAAAACTTCAGCAGATATGAACATATCACAGAACATCCTGTTGAACTTTTAACCTCTGTCTATAACCGGGTGGACTAGGAAAAGCATTTTGGAAATCTCAGAGTGAAAATAAGGATCTATATCTCTTAGGAATGTTGTTCCCACACTTATAGCAACAGGAAATACTTATGGCCCTGACTAGTTGACAGCTATTAGGTTAATTGGAACAGGAGCAAAATTGTCAATTATTTACATTTATCTATTTGTTTTTTTTAACTGTTTCATGCATAGCTGTTAATGCAAAGGACAGACATCTAAAAGACATTTTCTTGTGGATTTTTATGCTATAAATGCACACAGGCCACTGAAATGGACACTAGTACATCATACAATATACTGCCAACTACTGGCCGTCCCCTGCAAGTACAAGAATTTTTTGTTAAGTCCGATATGGCAGACAGTCGAAAAAGCAAAGAAAATCCAGTCCCTCCTTCTACTGTAGAAAACTCTGGTAGGCAAAAATAATATCAAGTAATCCATAAAGACTAATACTACTGATGTATTTTACAAATACCAACTTTGTGTTTGGAGAAAATTCCAATTGATCACAAAGAAAAAATAAATTTTTGTTTTTCGGCCTTAAAAAAAAACTTATGGAAAAAATTCTGACAAAGGATCATAAGTCGTGCCTGAAAGGATCAATATTAAATTTATTATGATTTTGATTTCATCATCTTGATGTCTGAAGTGGATTTCTAGTATTTACACTGAGAAGACTATCACAAAAAGATGAGTTAAAAGTAGTTAAAAATGAGTCGTGTATTTTTAAGGTTTCCCTCAGGCTGAATTCACATTTTTAGAGGTACAAAGGATGGAGTCTAATCACAACCAGACCATCACTGGTGTCCTAACCAGTCAAAGGGATTTGGGTCAAGAACCTACGAGGTCAAGTGGTTTCAAATCCAAACAACGAAGCCATTATCAGCTGTTCCACCGCTGCTGTTTGTTTGTTCTATAAATGGTACTGTAATTAAACTGAGCACATTTTTTATTCAAGAGCCACATCTGTACATACCGGATGCTTCTGTCTCTTGCAAATGTCACAGTGGGGAGGAGGGAAAACAGTGACAACTGGTGTAGTGCGGTCGCTCCGTTGGAGGCTGAGGCGTGCTCCTGCTGCCACTCTGCACGTCTCCCGCACACATAGCTGCTTTTCTCAGGCCAGATAAAATGTGCACAGACTGGGTCAAAGAGATGTTTGTCAACATCAAGTGTAAGAAGGAGCGAGGTGGAGGCTGCATGCTAAGCAGCTCCCGCCTCTATCGAAGCCAATCAACTGGCCCTTAGAAAATGAGAAAACGTGGACACCTGGCACTAAGACTCCAGCTTCACCCTCCTTATCTGTCTATCTGCCCTCACGCCGCTCCATCAAGACAACGACGAGCTTTGCATAATGAATCATCAAAATCAATCTCCTCTCCTATTTGCCTTCCTCTTCTCTTTTTCATTAGCCGCCACAAATAACGGGACTCCTAATCCTGAGTCTAAAGCAGTTTTATTGGATGCTTCAGCCACAGACGTGCAACATTGCAAGCATTTTTTTTTTCTGTCTTTGAGTATCAAATATTTAGTTAGTTGGCTGTGAAATGGTGGAGATGATCTGCAAAGGTACACAGCATGTAATACTTTAGGACTTGTTTGTTGTTTACTTCAGTGCTGGTCATTACATCCCCTCACTTTTTCCTCCTTTGCTGTTTCTCAGGCACAACTTTTTGCAGGAAAAAGGAAGCATTTTGTTCCTGCTTTGATAGTTTACTGTGATGAAACGTGTTATATTTACCAGCAGGAGTTAATAAGGTTTGAGCAGGAGGTCCCACTCTGTCCTATTTTATTTTACCCAAATAGGAACTGGGACCAAAATGAATGGGGAAATTCCAGCCGGACAATAAATCAATAAAATATATCAGGACCGACATGTGATCAATATTAACAGATAATTCATCTGATGAAATATTCAATATTCAATGGGAGATATAGGCAGAGAAAGGGTTTCATCTTCTCAAAAGGAGCTAAATGAGGTTATCCCACCAGTCTGTCGGTACTGCAGATATTTAAAACCGAAAACGAACCGATAATCATCAATATCGACAGTTATCAATATAGACTGATATGAAACGCCAGGTTATTCAGCCATGTCATTCAGCCCTAGGTTAAGTAGACATTTTCTGAAGGTCGTACACAATTGAATAAAGTTAGAAGAGAGATTTTACCACTTTATGACAAGAGAAAATGCTCATTTAAGAAGAAAAATAAATTGATATACAATTGTACGAACACCTAAGTTGGAACACTTCTTATTTTTCTACACTGTTTGCCTCTTAATAATTGACCAGTTTGCTTCCTGGGTCAAATATGTTCTCCATTATTCAATCCAGCCAACTGGACAACAGGTGGGAATCTCCCTCCTTTTGTAAAGCGATTCTGACAATGACACTGCAGGATACCCTGACCCACCATATAAATAAAACATCCACTGACCACCACAAAGTAATACCCCAAAAACAGCATCTTATCCCTCCCACCTGTGCTATTCCAGCCCACTCGCTCATCCAGAGTGGCTCAGACAGGCCCAGTAAATCAGCATGCCTGTAAGTAGGTCTCATTGACCCCTCAGTGTCCAATAGCGCCTGGATCTCTCTGGATCATCCGCTCAATATATCAATATCCATCCTGTTTCTTGTTTTAAGACCCCCACTCCCAAGCCAACACACCCCACTCTCCCCACACTGAATGTCAAGCGGAGATTGGACTCATCAATTTCAGGAATGTGTGTGTGTGTGTGTGTGAGGTGGAGCTTTTTGTATGAGTAAGTATGGCACATAAACTCATAAAAACACATGGCCTAATGCACTTTCCCTCTCTTTCAGACACACATAAATGTCCCAATGCCCTATGAGAGAAATGGGTCAAGAAAAGAAAGAGGGAGATTGCAAAAAGAATCCAGTAGACAAGTTCATACATGCAGAAATCAATAAACTAAAGATCAGTGGCTCGGCATACACCTGTCAGCTTGAATAGTCAGACTTTTACTGCTCTGCCGGAGCAGCGTGTGGTACGAGGGGGCAATTCGAGCGGCCATGCGGCAAACGCTGCAGCCAATCGGACGACTTACAGAGTCAAGCAATGATTACTCTTTCTGTTAGCCCCTGAAATGATGTGTGGAGGAGCTGATTAGCCGAGTCTATACATCTGGCAGGTGCACAAACTCTTGCTCGTTTTGCAGAGGCTCAGCACACACCCAAACATGGAGAGATAGAGACAGAGAGAGAGAAAGAAAGAAGGAAAGATCAAACAAGGGAACAAAGAAAAGAAAAGAAGAAAGAAAAGGTAAACAAGTGCAGTTAGAGAGGCCAAATATTCCATTCTTGTCAGGCCTCCAGATTGTGCTTAGCAAAGCGTTCTGATCACAGGTCAGCTCCAGCCTTCAGGCACCTTGAAATGCCTTGAAGGATTCCTCTCTACTGACACATTGCCATTTTGAATAACTCAGCTTTTCCATCAGCAACAAATATTTCCCTGACACAATGTGCTTTGACGCAACTGAACGCCAAATATGTCTAGACAATAGGCTGTGTTGAGAGAGAGCTTTGCTTTGTTAGAGTCTAGTTTGACCAAAGAGACCTTACAATCACACTTGATGAAAAACTAAACGTTCAAAGTTATTTTCTTGCCGCTACATTGCATTAAATCAATTTTCTCCTTCTTTTACCCCTGACAGGCAAAGGCAGTCCAGCCAAAGATCAAGGACATAACACATTGGATTGTATCTCACCTCTGGCAGTGGCATGCCGTTGATGATGAGGTCTGGCTGCTGGTGACCCTGCCCTGTGAACGAGTGCTGATAGCCGTGGTTGGGGGCCGCATTGCGTGAGTTCTGGTTCTCCACGTTGAGGAAGGTGCTCTCGGAGCGCCTGCAGCCCAGTGGCAGGCTCTGCTGGTGGTAGTCGAAGTAGTTGAGCGAGGAGGTGAGAGATGAGCAACTCACCACATTCATCTTGTCTGTCTCCTCGACGTCTCGCGGCACCAGGCGGATGTCGTTCTTGCTCAGCTTCTTCTTCTTGCTGGATTTTTTCTGGTTGCCGTAGGAGTACTCCGCCACCCTGCGCAAGTAGAAGAAACTGAACAGACTCAATAAAGCAGTGCTCTGTCTTCCCCAACCAAGCCCACACAGTCAAAGAGCCTCGGCCCCGTCATGCTGGGTGGGGTGCCAGACGAAAGCTCATAGCCAGGGCCAGACTTAAAGCTGCTGCTGTTTTCTCTCTTGGCCTGTTGGTGATGTATTAAAACACGAGGAAATGAAGTAGATTCTTTGTAGCATAAAGTGATTTAGGAAATATGAGTGTTGCTTTTTGTGCTTCTATTCTTAAAGGTGTGCATGTATTGGGATCAAGGGTGAGTAATTCACTGTGGCGCTGCATCAGGACAAGGTATGTTACTTTAGCTGTAGCCTTAAACACTCTTCTTTTTTTCTTTATAAGGAACTCGTACTTTTACATCAAGATAGAAAAAGTACAGATAAGTACTTGCAGAAAACAAGTAAGTTTTCTGCAAGTAAGCAGAAAACTTACTTGCAAGTTAGTTTTGACTTTAGATATTTAACTTAAACGCTAAATTGAAAATACTTCATACGATTTTGTGTTTTGCAGCGCAGTTGATGAATTGATTATTTAAATCAATGCTCTATGAATATCCCTAGATAGTCAGATAATTTATTTGCCAAATTACTCTGAAGCATTAGATTCAGTTTAACTTTCAAGCTTCCCATGCTAGTATATTTTCATCAGCACAGACAGTGTTTGCATAGCTTTATATGAGATTAAAAGTTTTTTTAAAGGGTTATTGCTCCAATCTTTGAGGTATACTGTGACATGGTAGCTTGTTTTATCTAATAAATTATGTACACTACAGTGTTAAATGCCTTGTAAGTTGATGCTGTAGCATTGTTTACCAAAGGCATTGTGTTTTCCTTGCTCTTGAATTGCAAAAGCACGATGCGGTATTTGAGATGGTACAAGTAAACTGAAATACACACAGCCACAGAAATATAGACATACTCCAGGGCTGCACATTATTAGAACTGCCACAATGTTTCAGTTTGTTGGATTTCTTTTTCATTGCAAGCCTTCTTTTGTTTTGATGTATTTCAGAGGCCTAGTTTACTGATACTCACTTGGATACTTTACCAGTTTGGGTACATTTTTGTATGGAAGTAGACATTCCTACAAATGGTGCCATCTTTACAAGAAACCTCTTAAAAACGTCAAGTACAAAGATTGTTTCAGAAACACTATTTAAATGTGGACAAAGCCGAGAAAGACTCAGTCAACGTTGCAACCGTGTATTTCTGCTTCATAAATATGCAAAATGATTTATTTTTCTCCAACTTCTATACAGTTAAATATTTATAAACCAGAGCCTGCAAAGCTTTTTGTTTTGTTTTAGAACCTTTATATATTTTGGAGATAAATGTTCATAAACCACTCAAATCTCTCACAGAATTTAATTCAAATAAATATGATGTTTTGAATTTCTACTGTATTTCTACTTATTCTGGTTATGATCTCCTTTAGGGTCCAGTTACAAAATATGACACATTTTGAGCCCTGATCAGACCCCAGTTACTGAGTGACCTCCTGCTGACATGTATAATTTATTGCAGTCATATAACCTAATTTCCTTCCTCTAGACCACAAGAATTACTTTAAATTGTTGGTTGTCAAAATAGGCCTGAAATGTCATTCTGGAAGGCACAAATTTATACGTGGTTGGCAGATGGCTCCATTTCTTACCCGAAGTAGTCGGGTACGAAATCAGCAAAGCTGCAAAGGCACAAAATGGCAATGAAGAAAAATTACTAGCACTCCCTAAACACCTTTAAAATGATGTGTACCTATTACTCTGTTGCAACAATCGTGAAGTAAAAGCAACCTGTGTGGACAGGACACCAAGGCTGGCTCTGGCCCATTTCCTCCTAAAATCCGGCCCTGTGCGAGTGTGAAACGGCACACAGAGGTGACCCACCACACCCGGCCTGCAGTGAAGCCGTCGTAAATGTTTGCTAGCATTTGCATGCTCAACAATCAACATGTCACAAACAGGCTGAAAATGCAAACATGCCAAAACCACAGAAGCAAAACAAAAAGGAACACACTGAACCTGAGAAGCACCACCGGTGTATGCAATCATATTCAGAGCACAGAACACTCACTGATTCCAGTTTTTCCTTTCATTAGCAAGCAGGCCCACAAGCAATATAGAAAAGCAAGAGAACTGCAGATTCAAATTTGTTCAACGGCTCTCTGTGACTTCTGCAAACTGAAGCTGAGCATTTTGACTTTAATAAGAGCAAATGAGCAGCAGAGCTATGCTTTATCAAAGGATGCTCAGATTGGGGGAAATGTCTACTCTTTGCAGAGCCTTGCAGTTTTTCCACAGAATAACAGATGTTAAGTAGTCCAGTGATGACTACAGCCCTCACAGGACATATTTACCATCATGTCTGGTGTTTTTCTTTTTTTTTTTGTTGCTAATTTTACTTTACAATCTCTACTGACTCAAACTCTGAAAGGTAGAATCTAACTCGATAAGATAATCCCTGTGGCTTATGTCCTTTATTAGAGCCATAACAAGGATAGAGATATCTGTGAAATTGCAATCTCTGTTCCTGTCACTTTCTGAGATTTCTCTGCTCTACTCACCCCCACTGGTCTTTGGTTTTCACCCCAGTGCAGCACCAGGGCTATCACTTTTTTGTTTGTCTTTTCATTTGTGTCTTGTTACAAGCACATGACCTCAATCAGCTACTTCTTGATGCAGAGGGAAGAACTTGGAAAATACAACATCTCTCCTTCGTTTTCGCATCCTTCGTTTTCACGTTCTCTCCGCTTTATGCCCAAATCGAAATCTTGGAAGAGAGAACTTCAGAGCGAGACAGACTGACAGAGGACAAGCAATAAATTGGAGATAACTGCTCCTCATATTCGAGGTGGTGACTGAGAAGCAGAGCACATCAGCACTGATTAAAGCTCCCAGCAGGGAGACGGGCTCACAATGGGAGAGAGGAAAGTACTGGGAGCAGTTTTGAATTTTGAATTTGTTTGTCTGTCACTGTGCCTTCGCTGCACAGAATGTATGAGTGACATTTAAATAAGAGCAAATGTTTTTAATCAAGCTGTAACTTCACAGATTTTTTTCCCCTCTATTTTCAATCAAAGCTAATTCAAAATTACATCTGGAAAAGTATTTTTAGTCAGACAGGAAAGATGACTTCTCCGGGTCAACTCTCAAATGTGGAGCAGCAATCATTTCTGATGCTTTCCGTCAAGAAACACTTAATTTCCATATCTAATCTTGTCAGCTGAAAACATTTGGGAAAAAGAAAACTTTAAATCAGTACAGTAGAAATAAAAAAAATTTATTACTATTATGCTCATTTTTCTGCATTTCTTCTCCTTTTAAAAATAATGAGGTGAACCTCAAATCAACAAAATTATGTCAGGAACAAAATACGACTATAGCTTCAGGTTAAATTCTCAAATCCAATCTATATGTAAATTTTACAGTCGTAATGTGGCACATGCAGGGAAATCAAAGCCAGAGCTGATGCTCAGATTGATGAAGAAAACACAGTTCGCAGAAATGCATCAGAAGAGGGGGGAATAATCAGCTGCTTTTATCCATAAACCTGCCTCCTAACAGTTCATGACTCTGATGTAACTGATGATATCTTCTAAGGCACAAGCCTAATCTCCTACATTTATTTTAGAGTAGCTCCTTCTGATGTGCCTTGATGAAAACAGAGGGGAATCGGAGTAATCCTGGAGGACTGTCCATAATCACAGCAGATTAAAGCTGATAACAGCCAATCAGCCACGGTGGACGTTAAATAATAAATGTCCCGGACTGCCATTGAGGCAGCAGGACGTTAATTGTCCGGCAACACATCCGCAAATTGAACATGACAGTCGAACCGTCGTATTTATGAGTCAATTGGTTACAATGGAAGGATTAAATCCATCAATCACCGTTTGCTTTAATGCAGAACAGTGGGCCTCAGCAGAATGTGTCTGATTTAAAGCAGTCGGGTTCATTTAGGTCTACTTCAGCTGTGGAGCCGAGAAGGGAGAGAGAGGAAAGGGAGAGGAGGGGGAGAAACGATCTGCAGTCCTCACATACAGGGCCTCTACATGCTGCATGATAGAAAAGCAATGCACTGTCAACTGGCACAATGGCATTCACACACATTCCAGGGTTCCTACACAGTCTGGAAAAGTCAGGATTTTCATTCATCTAAATATTTAAAATGCAGTTTCTGGGAAAAAAAAAAAGAGGAATTTTTTCATCAATTCATACATTAATGCACGTTTGTTAAAAATCAAGACAAATTATTGCACTTCGCCTTTCTTTTTTTTTCTACTACACCCTCTTAGATAAGAATTTGATACTGAATCTGCCATTTCTTAAATGGGGTGGAAACCTTTTCTTAGTAAACAAAAAGATAGTCCACATCACCAGCTGTGATTTAAAATATCTGTAGATAATGTAGGACAACTTAAGCCATATTTGACAGGTTGTACTGACAAAGATTTTTGCCAAAATTAAAACTAAAACAGCCCTCAGACGCATTATTTTACAGAAAATAAAAGCCAATTAGGTACATATGTTGTGATAAACTCCCAGACTTTGTAAAAAAAAAAAATCTGGAGTCTGATTTTAAAATTGACAAAGTTTGGCTGAGAACAGACATCATTCCTGCTTTCATGATCTAAAATATTCTTAATTTTTGAAAAATAAAGAGCTTTTTGCATTCATAGCAGCCATTTGACTGGATTTCCACTTGGATCTTCAGTTTGTGAATTGGGTTGTTTTTCTGGAATGTGGAGGAACATTTTGTACTCAAGATTTCCACATATAATGTTACAAGAATTGTTGAAACCAGTCATAGTTTATTTTTCATATGGCTCACCACCCAGGGTGCTCTCCTGTCAGGGGCAGCACGAATGATTCATCAAAATCACATTCATATATTTCTGCCCTGAACATATTTTTAATTGCTATTTCCATTTTCCTTCACCTGTGTTGGAATGAATACAGAGTAAAAATGACTCTAAAGTATGTATCTGTTAAGACTCTGCTTAACTAAAGTTTTTAAGGTAAATTTATTTTATTTTTTATGTCAAGCTGAAAATATTAAATATATAAATCAAATCTGAAATTAATTACATAAAATATTATTTTCTTAAAATCTCACACAGAAAGTGCTTTTGTAATGTTTAAGTAGTTTGAGAGCAACATAAAGATTGGGCCCGAGGGATCCGGTTGCCCAGGGCCCCTTTCATATCAGAACCGCCACTGGCTGAACTATTTATAAATTTGAATAAAGAAAAAAACAAAGAATTTTGAAAAATTTGTAGGAACCCTGACATTCACATGTTCTGTGTTCATTCAGTACCTGCAGTTGTATGTCCGGATCTCCTTGTTGTCCCTCTTGCATTTGACCGCCACAAAGATCATGGTGATGAAGAGGATGGCTGCAATGGAGCCCAGGGCGATGATGAATATGAGAGACAGGTTGACGGGTCCGATGGTCTCTTGGGCGTTCAGATCCGGAGAGAGGTACACCACGATGTAGGCCGAGGCAGAGAGGGAGGGTTTGCCATGGTCCCTGGCCACCACTGTGATCTCATAGGTGGACTTGGCGTTCTCCCCAAACATCCTGGTGGAGCGCACCTCTCCATTCACCTGGTCGATCTCAAAGAAGGCCCTATCGCCCTCTGAGATGGTGTAGGTCAGCCGCCCGTTCTCCCCTTCATCATAGTCATCAGCCTTCACCTGGGTCACCATGTACCCCACCCCGGCGTTCCTCGGGATGGAGACCTCCGCTGTACCGTTGACCAGCGGGGGGTTTGTCATCACAGGCGTGTTGTCGTTGACGTCCAGCACCACAATGCGAACTGTGGCGTTGCTGGACAAGGAGGGGTTGCCGTTGTCTCTTGCCAGAACTTTGAAGTCAAAAGTCCTGGTGTATTCATGATCGAATGATCTCATGGAGTAAATGCGGCCTGATGGGTTTATGCTCACGTATGTGTTTACATCCATGTGTTTAATCTCACCAGGGACTATAGAGTAGGAGACTGTGCCATTCATGCCCAGATCTGGGTCCTCTGCTGACACAGCCAGCAGACAGGAACCTGGGAGGTTGTTCTCCATCACCATCTCTTGATAGTGTGGCTTTAGGAAGTGTGGCGGATTGTCATTCTCATCTGTGACTTTGACCACCAGAGATTTGGTGGCGCGTAGCTGAGGGATGCCGCTGTCCTCTGCCTGGATGGTCAGGTTGAAGGTGTCCTTCTGCTCTCTGTCCAGCCTCCCGTCGACCAGAATGGTGGAGAAGCTCTCATACTCTTGCAGCCTGAAGGGAACATTGCCCTGCAGGGTGCACTTCACTTTCCCATTGGCCCCCGAGTCCTTATCTGACACCCTCACCAGCGCAATCACATACCCACGCTGCGCGTTCTCACTCACTTCCACCATCTCTGTGTTCAGCGAGAGCAGGCTGATCACAGGTGGGTTGTCGTTCGTGTCCATCACGTTCACTGTGACTTTGCAGTGAGCCGGGATGGAGTTGGGACCCAGATCTTTGGCCTGGACGTCGATCTCATAGATCTGCGTGGTCTCGTAATCCAACACGCCGTTGACCGTGATGATCCCCGTCCTGGGGTCAATTTTGAAAGCCTCCCTCGTTTTCTCGGTGACGTAACTGTTGAACGAGTACACAATCTCTCCATTAGTGCCCTCGTCAGGATCCGTGGCGTTCAGGTCTATGACTAATGTGTTGACGGGGGAGTTCTCCATCACATTCACCGTGTAAACCGGCTCGTCAAAAACGGGGTTGTTGTCATTCGAATCTATCACTTTAATGTTTAACTGGACCGCGCCTATCTTCGGAGGGTCTCCTCCGTCCTCTGCACTGATTTCATACGTATAGTGGGACTGGGTCTCTCTGTCTAAAGATTTCTGCACAACCAGCTCTGCGATCTTGGATCCGTCCCCTCTAGTTTTTATTTCTAGCCCGAAAAGCTCGTTCGGGGTGATGGAATAGGACTGCACTCCAAAGATCCCCGAGTCCGGATCGCTCGCACCCTCTAGGGGAAACCTGGTACCAGGGGATGCGTTCTCGGAAATTTCTATGTCAATGTGGCTCGTCGGGAACCGGGGCGCGTTGTCGTTCAAATCCTCGATTTCAACTTTGATTACGCAGATCTCCATGGAGTTTGACATCACTTCTAGGGAAATAATGCACTTCGGGTTCTGTCTGCAAACTACATCCCGATCTATCTTCATCTGGGTTGTAAGAATCCCGGCCGGACTGAGTTCCACCCATCGCGGTTCTGAATTGGAAATAACCCTCAAGTAAGGAGGCTGCGGCGCAATCTGAAATCCCTGCATGAGCGCGTCCCTCGTAACGTTCCCAATCACCGACCCGGGCTTCATCTCCTCGTTTATTCCATATTTCAGGTTGATAACAGCCTCAGTTCCGACCCAGAATAAAAGGAAAACGGAGGCTATTTGTATTAATTCCATCTCCAGGGCTTGCTGTTGAACCTGTTGAGTTTTTCTGAAGAATTACGCACAAGGATGCGCGTCAAAAATAGGAGAGAAAAACGCGCAGATAAATCATCTCTTAAAGAAAAGAAAAAGAAACTAAGTTTGATTGAATGTCTCTTCTATTTGCAGTCAATGAGCTCTAATTCTAACAAGTGCCTATTTGATTCTTCTCAGGCAGAGCACATCCTCCGGTCTGCTGCAGCGGGAGAAACACTGAGCGCGACAGAATAGTGAAAACATGCTGAATCTCCTTACAGTTGGGATTTAGCCGTGGAAATCCGCGCAGCTCTCAAAGAGCAGAAAACTGACCTTACGCACGCTTCATATGTTAAAGTGTTCATTTTTTCAAGAGAGCGAAAGGGAGGAGAAAAAAATACTGCAGAGACTCAAGTCCGCAGAAATCTTTATCTTTCGCGCAGATGGAGCGATGTGGCTGAAAAGTCTGTGTGAATTTCACCGCCCCGACCTGACAGGGGGTCGATATTCAGGTCGTCCTTTTCTTTGGATAAAAATAATCACTCTTTTTAATTAGAAGCAGCTATTTTTAAAAAAATCCTCTTGAAAATTGCATCTCAATAAAAAAAAGATCTTCAAGCAAGGAAATGTTCAACAGTCCGGATATCTTTTTGCGTAAAAGGGGTGCAGTTGAAGGAATGTCTCATCACATCACTCAAACTCCCGATTACCTTTTAATTTCCAGCAGATTTAGTCCTTCTTCCAACCCCCTCCTCAAGTCTTCAAGCTTCCACTTCCTAATTAATTCCCTCTCATCTCACTTGGAAAGGCTAAAACAGATCCCAGTCAATAGTCCAGGCGCACAAAAAGAGAAAGAAAAAAAAAATCCGCTGAAAATGCAGCCAGTTGGGATGAGGCGATGCCAGAGCTTACTGTACGTTCAAAACGCATCTTATGTGTGGCTGCAGAGAAACTGAAGCACTGTAGCCTATATCCAGCCTGACTGAGGCAGAGAGAGGGAGGGAAAAAAAGAAATCACCACTCGTTGCCAGTAGGCTGTCTAGTTGACTCCAACAAGCGCTCCTCTCGCTTCGCTGGTGCACACTGGCAGACGCGCAGCTCCGAGCTGAGCGCTCAGTCTCAGGACCCGCAATCCCCTCAGCCAATCAGGGGTTACTCAGGAGGGCCGGAGCTGCTGGTGGGTGGGGCGAAGTAGAGCAATGAAACGCGGCCAACTACCTGTTCTCCTGCAGATGGAAGACTCTACAGGCAATTATGGCGTACACGTTAAACACGAAATTAGATGGTCGTTAGGGCTGCTTCCAGAAGTATAGTTCTGTGGGGACGTGGGGGGGCATCACCATGGGAGTGGATCTCTGAGAGGGATTTCACGGGGGCCCACAGCAGAGAATAAACAGAGAAACAGAGGAACCGTGTTTTTAACGCAGCAGAGACGCAGAGGAGAGGTTACGAGGGGTAACTTTCCAGAATTTGTCTCGTTTTCTCTTCTGCAACAAGCACCATGAATCTTTTTCTAGTCCCATTTTCCACCGTCAAGCTTCACCAGTGACGCACTGTTTTCGTCATTTTTAAAAAAGTTTGTGGACCTCTGAGCTGGTGGTATTTGCCAAACTAGAGAATAATAAAAATCCAGGTCATCGTGGTGTTTTATGGGACTCTGAAAAGAATTGGATTTGAGGTCATTGTTTTGATTAAACTAATAATTCAGGATGTAGGAAGTGAGGCAGTAATATCCCTACAGAAGAAAACTTTTTCTCCTCTTTATTATAAATCCAGATTTGTTGGACTTGGAGGTGGAAAACCTGACAGAGACACAAGACCAAAACTATTTTTCTAACTATGGACGTCATGTTTGCATCACATGGATATTTACACAGAAACTAATGATTATTAAGACTGGAAATAAAACACTGGTGCAGCACCAATGACCTTCCTGAGGGAAGCAAGCGGTAAATGTAAAATATTTCTGGTAAGAGAAAATGTCTGACAGAAAAAGTACATTGTTAAAAAGCAATATTTTAACTGGTGCTAGAGGGAGCTCTATTTTACTGACTTTTATGCAGTCGTACATTTCTATCAAACGTTTTACACGCTGAAATTTTAGGAAGTGTTCAATAGAAAAAGATTTTTAGTGGCACTTCTATTAAATCCCTGTCCAACGTACAAATGATAACGCTTTAAAGTTCAGAAAGTAGCACCAAAAATGTTTATTTTAAGTGATCCAAATGCCATGCTAGCACTAAATTTTATATTATAAACACACACATTCTGTCCCAGAATGTGTGTTGCTTAGCCCTGACATTAAGGACTTTCCATTATTCATTAAAGTGTGGTTTAGCAGTCATGCATCAGGAAGAGGATCCCAGTTAAAGTGGATGAACTAATAAACAATTGCTATTTCTTCACCGATAAAAATTAAGGTGTGCAAGATGAATATTGCATCCTGAGCATCAGCTTTGTTTGGTTATGCTTCGGGTCACAAGGCATGTTTTATGCACCAGGACTTTTTTAGGTTCTCAAAGACTTTTCATAGCATTCAATGATCATTTGTGACATCACATAGTAATAGAAAGTGGAAATATGTTTCTCTGCAATTTCACAGACTTCACTTCTCAGTTTTTACATTTTATAATTTTAAGTATAATAAAATGTTGCTTTTATTCACACTTCAAAAGCAGGCTCATTAAATACAAATATGATATAGATTTCACCAGGGTATCCCTGGCAGGTTGACCTATTTTCCATATTTCTGGCTTGTATTTTTTTTTTTTATCCAAAGATTTATTTATTTATTTATTTTATTATTAATTTGAATATTACAAATTTCATTGCTTTTAATTTGGCTATTTACAAACTTTAGCTAATTATCATTTAGAAGTAGGCTCTTCCTTAAACATAACTACACATTTGAAAGTGTAAAGATGTATATTCTGGATTAAGCAGACTTGGGGACCCCCTGCTGGTCTGGAGGACCAAAGCAGCTGCATGGTTTGCCTTGCTTTGGGCCGGCTGAGATGGGAAAGACTTGTCACCGCTCCTCAAATGTTTTTCATCACATGTTTGAGGAGGCCTCATGGTGTTTGATGTCGGTCTTTCCGGTTAAACCCGACTGAAAAAGACAGTTGAGAATGAACTTCCTGTGACCTTCTGAATGTCAAAGTCAAGCATGAGCCTGTTGATTACAACTGTCTTTATATCATTTTACACCATTCACATGATGATATGGTTACTTGTTTATTGCAGCCCAACTTAAGCTGCAATAATGAGACAACTACCAATATAATGACTGAATAATAGATATGGATTAAGTTTCCATGTTGGAAAGAAATATTGACAAATCAATAAAGCAGGTTTTAAAATTACATTTAGAAAGATTTTCCAATCAATAAGGCATTTGAGCTCCACTCCAAATAGTTTGCTGCTTTAGGATAACATAGAGTCAACCTGCGACCTGCTTCATTAAGGCTATAATTAGCTTCTCTCATATAAAAATAAATATGCTTCAGTCAGTATATGAAAACGCTTGTTATTAAGTTAATAAAGAGGAGAGTGCTGACCTACAGACTGGAGCTCATCATCATAATAAAAGGAACAACACATCAATTAGGTCATTATTCAAAGCGACCCTTCTCTCTTATCTGCGTGTAATTCAGGCCGACGTTATGGCTGCGGCTCTTTGTGATGTGCGCAACCACCATGCGCTCCACGCGCCAGACCATTCAAGAAACAAAACAAAACAAAAAAAAAAACATCGCAAAGGCAATGAGAGAGAAAAAAATTAAACTGAAAATTAAGTTCTGCACATACTGCGTCCTCTTTCCTTGAAATCTCACTTCTCCTCCTCAGATACACTCGCTAACAGCTGGCTTCTTTTCTTTGTTGCGCACACAAACCCACGCACACACACACACACACGCGCGCGCGCGCGCGCGCGCGCACACACACACACACACACACACACACACACACACACCCTCCCGCTTCCCTGCACCCACCCTGCTCGCTCCTGTCGGGAGGCAGGCCGATTTCAAAGTCACAAGGGTGACACCTAGCGTCCGCAGCCGCCGCTCGGTTCTGTTAGTCCAGGTTGTTCATCTCACCCCCCAGACTCCTTCACCCCGAAGGAAGAAAAACAAAAGAAAAACTAATTCTCCATCATCCTGGAGAATAATAATGACGCACATCAGCTTCCTTTCTCTGTTGAAACAGAATCTTCATTTAGATCCCAATCAATATTCTGTCAATGACGATCATTCAGGCTCTGAGCCTCATCCGATCATTGCTAATCAATCGTGATTGGGTTCTAAATGAAAATGATATCATTTTTCGGGAAAATGGAGATGTTTGTTTTTAACTTCTTTTATTTGTAGAAGCTCAAATTGAGCCAGAGCATTAATCACTACTAAACAAAAACTCCATTACTTAAAAACTATCTGCACCACAGTCTATTTATTTACTTATTGTAGATTACTGAAGTGAGAGCAAAAGCAATATCTGTGTCTAAATCTGAAATGTGTGGCATGCATTTGGGGAATCAAATGCATGCCACACAGATATGCATTTGCTGCCATTGCAACTGCAAAAATGGGGATTTGCATATCTGCTTAGGCTGAACTGTGAGCATCAGGTACTCCCAACATTCACCATAAATCCTTATTTTTGTGGCTGGAACACATTGTATCCCTGGAAGGTAAATCTCTGCTCCGATCTAAAAGTCGAGTCCAACCTCACACGTGTGTTGTTTTCACGGTTAGTTTTCCTGCACACATAACCAACAGTTCAGTTTTAGTCTAATCTGATCAAACCAGTTCGCTTACACATTTTATATGTCTTTTTATTTCTTTCAACAAAAGCTTTTCTTTTCCCCACCTTTTTAGAAACACTTGTACTGGTTTCCTGTCAACAGTTTATCCCACCTGAGCTGTGGATCTGTGCAGCTCCAAACCTAAACCTACTTTATCCCTGACCTGTCTGCTGCGTTCCCTCATCATCATCATCATCATCATCATCATGAGCGATATGGACTTAAAGGTTTATTGTGTTAGCTATAAAAGTATGACTAAGAAGTCAAGTCAAGTTCATTTGTATGGTACATTTCAGCAATAAGCCAGTTCAAAGTGCTTTACATCTTAAAAAACATCACATCTATTAACCTATAAACAACTTATTTAATAGGCAGTTGTTTGGCCGTGACTGCATGACAGCAATCATAACTCAACACAAATACCGCTCTTGAAAAACATTTGAAATATGTCTCCTGACGACACAAACCACATCCAGAACTGTGATTTATACCACTGATGGCACACAGTAACTGCATTTCATCATATTTTGGAATTTATCGGTATTTATCAATACTCTAATTGAACAAAGAGCAGAGAACATAGACAAACTAACAATATGGACAGATTTAAACATCAGTAGTTGGAGTTTATCGACAACACGATAAATCAGAATACTTATAACAAGGAATTTATCACGATAAATGATCAACAATACGATAAATGTCCTTCCTTAAACCGTGATGTTTGTTTACGAATGTTTACTAAACTTACAGAACATCTGGATTTACTAAATCACACACAGTTCAACTCTCCTTAATAGCAACTTTTGATGGAAACTGGTTGCATAGGGGTTTGTTTAGGAATATCAGAGTAAATAGTCTGAATACAAACGTAGAACCATGTACAAATAAAACAAACACTTTTCTGTCTAACACATAAAATTCCAGAGAAATTAATTGAAAGTTTTAGTTGTAACAAATCAAAATGAGGAAAGGGTGTCTGTTTTGCGCAGCCATATTTGGACAAACATGCATCAACAAAGCAACTTGTTTGCTCTGCTGCAACACTTTCCAAGATATGTTGCAAGTCGCACATGGAGAGTTGAATCTTTAAGCCCATAAATTCTTAATGTCAGTGAGTTAAACAACCGTAGGCAGCGGCGGGGGACGTTTCCCTTCCTCGGGGCTTTCTGGTGGCCATGTGTACACCAGAGCGCATTGCACACTTTGCGTTTCCCTCAGCTTGAAATTATGCTGCAGAGCCTTACTATTTGGAACGAAAAGG